ATATTAAAACAACAATATTAACAAGTTTATCTTATTATTAACGATTCTATTAGAACGTATGCAGATAGTCTCAAGACTTGTTGAATTGTAATTATTTGTTGATTTATTAATTAACTGCAAATGTTGTTTCACTCATACGATAATACGAAATTGCGTTATGGATGTACGTTCGTAAAATCCATGATGCACGTCAATTTCACGTAATATCAAAAGTTTCGCGTGAAAGTTAAGTTTTTAGCGCACTTCTGTCGTTCATAAATTCCTTCATACGCGCACCCCGACAAGGCAATTTTCACCAAGAACCAAGAAACGCGACGGGGCGTCACAGTCCGTTCGCCAGGATTCCAAGCAGCTGCTGGACTTATGCGCTGTGAAATGCATAATGCGCCTCCGCGACTGAGGCTATCTAGGATGTGTGAAACGAATTTCTGGCTTCGTATGATCATTGAGGCCACGTGTGGATGCAACAAAGACAGCAGACAATATCGACATCTGTGAATGTTGAACGCGACGCTTCAACTAATTTCCAGCGATTTCGCTAATTAATCCTTTGCCAGCGACATAGAGTCTTTAAAGGCATTATCGATATTTTGATGATAAATTCTGTTAGATAAATTTGTAAAAAATAAGTGAAATATAATACACCTTCTGGATAAAAACTCAGCAGACAACGTTAAAGCTTTGACAAATAGGATAACTCTCTATTATTGTGTCTGTCGCTATTAGTGTGCCTTTGTATTTAAATAAGCCATAAAGAAAACTGATACAAGTAAATAAGATAAAGTATTTTTGAGTTAAATTATTAATGTATATGATACCAAAGATAATATTCTATTTTTTAACTATAAAGTATAATCAATGTTTGTAAATATATGTTTCGAAAGACACGGGAAGTTTATGAATTCAGTAATATTGCAAGATTTTCACCTTGTTAAGCCTGGTTTTTTTCTGATTAATTTGTGGTTAAACCTAATGTTTCATGCAATAGACATTATCCATGACATCATCATAGATGAAGCTGATTGAATAAAATATCAGGTTAAGTCTAACAAGTTAATCAGATAATGAAAAATCGGGTGTGCTCTGTATTGAAGCTGAGAGCGTTGTGTTATGAGTGTACATTGAAATTGTAAGTATAATTAAAATAATGATTTATGCAACAATTAGCTTACATCTGTTATCTGTTTTAGTAATTATATGTTAAAATGAATCAATACCGCATACAAATTGGGGGCACATTAAATAATGGGATCATTGCTTTTGGAAAAATACTCTAATGGGAACAAAAATATTTGTTTTTTTTTAGATTAAAAAAATATAAGAAAAAGAAATAGTTGGAAAAATCAATATTGATTTCAAGCAGACAAAATTAAAGCTACAATATTTAATAATTAATTCAATAATAAGCAACTTAAAGACACACTGGGACAGATGTTCTACTGATCAGAATTTTTTCAGAATTTTATATAATTTGGAAGAACAAAAAAATTGTTCTGTTTCTCGAAAGGCTTTCTATTGCTAACGGAGGAGTTAAAATTCTATGTTGCCAGTAGAGGATTAAGAATAGTCTCTCGCTGATTAACGCAACCTTGGACGAAATACGATCGAACGGTCCTGTCGTTACAGATACACGTATACACGTATAATATATAATTATATGTATACGAAGGCTTGGGAAAAATTCCTAGCTCGATGAGGAATGAATAAGGTACGCAGACATAAATATATTTTTACCGCGATGTGCATAAAGGGTGAGGGGCTGCATCCGTATCCATCAATATTTTCATTCACAACCTTCGTGACAGAAACGAGCTTTGCCAGCAGTCACGTACGAAAACACACGCGACGTGTTGAGGTGAAAAGTAGGTAACTCGAGGTAACTGATCGAGAACCATAGAGAGACGGTGGGTTAAATGACGGTGATGGCAGGTGTCAAGCGGTCAGTTGATCACTGTCAAATAGATCGAATAGTTTCACTGCAACTCGTGCACATTGCGATGTTATAGGCGGAATAAAAACAAAATTGCAGACGACAATCCTGAAAGGAGAGACTGATCGCGTTCTATGGCGTTTTAAAGAGAGCAGACAGAACGAGAAATAAATGAGTATCCAGCATGATGCATTTTCATGAAGCAGATTCAGCTGAAAAAATCCGTAACGATAAAACTATTAATTTAAACATTCCGCGTACATTGCTTTATTGATAGTTATTGATAATTGATAGATGTTATTGATAATTGATAAAACTGTTCTCATTATTATTAATAGAACTCATTTCAAGATTGTTTTCATTGGAAACGTATTCGAGTAAAGTAGTGCGATGAATGAGAATACAAGTGCAAATACTGGTGATGAATGCGCTTTCTAACGAACTAGAGTAACCATCAGTTTTATACAAATCTCAGAAAACTGTTTCTACGCAAACTGTTGTGATGGATTTGATAAGACATCGGAGATTGTACGATATTAATGAATACCAGAGGAAAAAGAGCACATAGCTGCAAGGGAAAAGGGGGTAAAGAGAAGGAAATAGAAAGAGAGGGAGAGAGAGAGAGAGAGAGAGACCTCGGAAGAAATCTCGCGAGTCCTCGACAGCGCGTTTCAAACATCTGCCACCGCAGATATCTTTCCTCGCAATCTCTCGCAGATTCATACGTTCCGCGGCGACTCTGCCGTACACGCAAAGCGAGATCATACATAGACTTGAAATAAGCGCATGTATGTGCACCGTACATGAGGCCGTTCTCGTACTGTATGTGGTACATAAATCATAAGCGCCAGTAGCTGAGGAGGAATGCGTAACGTTCGTTTACCACACACGTATTATAGATACTAAACCAATTTGAGACGTGGATTCGTCAGAATGAACGTTATGTCGAGCAGCCCCAACGGCTGTCCGATAAATCACGCATTGTGCATCTAATCGCGAGATTAACAGCCGGCATGTCTTCGTATACGACATCGCGCCCGCATACTTATAATTTCCCCTATAGTTTATAATGCAAGTTGAGCGTATTATTGATGTATTTGCATTGTGGATGAAGGATTAAATAAAATGGCCAATTAAAAGTCCGCAATCTTTATCTACTTAAAATTAATCCACCGTTCGAAAACTCCGATTTCTACGGTTGCAGCGCGGACGACGTCCGTTAACGATCTTCGTCACGGATTAATCCGCCACGAGCTATAACGAATCTCGAGTATTCCCGACGATGATTGAAAACTGGAAGTTGCGTTCCGGCGGTGCGGCGGAAAGTTGTCGCACTTCGTCGTGTCGCGGACAGTAATCGCGGCCGTTTCTCCAGTCTCCATGGCGGGACAGGAGAGAGAGAGAGAGAGAGAGAGAGAGAGAGAGAGAGAGAAGGAGAAAGAGAAGAGGCTTAAACACGGCGCACGCTTTTTTCTTATAACTCAATCACGGCCGTTACGTCGAACCAGGATGAGCCGTAAAGTCCGGCCATTAGAAACGTGCAGTGCGTCGCGCTGCACGACAAATCGCCGTGGAACAAAAGTCCCCCGTCCTACATTTCGCCGCGCCGCGGCCTACACAGCCGGCAGATGCGCTGACAAGCGAGAATCGCCTTAAAGGCGTCGCGCTCGACAGATTGCACTGGCGACTGATTGATGCACCCGTGAACAACAATCCAGCAGGCCCCGGCCGTGCACAGCCAGCCACGGCAGCGCTTCCCTATTCATCTTCTTCTTGCGCTCAGGCGCATTAGCGACAATACCTATGTGCATTAAGGCGCCCGCGCCGCGCCGGTGTGGGTACGTACTTACTACTTATGTAGTACGTACCTAACGTATCCCCGGCAAACACCAACAAGCACTACTACCGCGCTTACGCCGCACCGCGAGAGATGCGATGCAGCCTCTCGAACAGCGAGTCTCTCCTTCCCTTCCCTTCCCTTCCCTTCTCTTCCTCGCCGACTCGAGTCGAGCGGGACAGGAAGAAATTTCGTGAAAGTACACGTGAACGACTATTCTCTCACAATTAGCGGACAAATCGTGATTCTCTTCGCGCGTATGTCGCCAGAGAGATTTTTATACTCTTCAACCATATGAAATTCGCAGATGCTTTTTCCTCGAAAGCGTAAAACGCGCGTTTCGAGAAAAGAAGATAATTCCATGTTTCCTGTTATTACGCCGCACTGCTAACAAGTATAAGAATGCTAACACGATACTTATTACTTGCCCGTGATATGCGATGTAATGTGATAATTTGTAAATCTGTTTTACATATATTTATAATATAAGTATGTATATTTTATATGTATTAACGAAGAATATTGATGATACAAATGAAAAATAAGTATAATTGCATTTTTTGAGCAGAAACATTTATCGTATCATTCCAACGAATGAAACCCCATCGTGGCATAACTTATACTTATTTGGTAGCTACTTATAAATATGCTGCGTTTTTTTAATCATAAATTTCGCCCGTCATAATTTCCGTATTGATTGACAAGCGATCATGATTGACGCATGCCCTTACAAGAGGAAAAGGATACTTTTGACACGTAGTATCGCTGTTATTAATATCCTTTACCGATCTTACGTGCAGCTAACACCTACGCGATCAGCGGGGTTCCTACCTCCTTGGAATCCAAGTGTCTACCTGGTTGACATTTGACAGGCACAACGGCTACGAGATTCCTCTTGTGTGACACTTCGATCGATGGATATTCGATTCTATGATAATAGGATGTACCAGATAATTGTTACGAGGGTTGACGACCGCGTAGAATCTCGTGGATTTAGTTTCAAACGCGAACGAATGGTCAACATGTCGGGAATTCAATGAAATTGCGATATTGATCATATAAAGTCTTTGCTGCAAAATTTTATTTTTGCAATATAGTGTAAAACATATTCTGGAAGGTTTTAAAAATGCTCAAATTATTAATTATTAATTATTATTTATTACATGAGACGCATTAAAATCATTCAACTTTTATGAATATAATTTTAAAAGAATCGAACTTTTTTATTTTCAGGGTCGCATGCCGTTCATGCGAGCGATGAGCATGGAACAGCGGTGGCAAGATCTTGCGTCTCTTTTATCTCTGCCAGGAGCACCGGATCACTTCGCACATCCAGCGCATCCTGGATATCCAGGACACGGTATAAGTCACAGCCATTACGAGGCGCAACGTAACGTATTGCTCCATAATCCTACCTTAGCGCCTCCGGTCGGGGATCTCAATTCAACGGGACCTTACCACAATGTGGGTGAGTATTGTCTAAAGTTGTGTTCCCATTTTATATATCTCTTTCTCTCTGATGTAACGAAATTTCGCAATATGAATTATTGAATTTCATTATCATTGAGATAATTGAACATTACGCGATATATGCATCAGAAACATATCAAATCCAATCTTCAATTAAAATATTTTTTATACTTGCGACAAGTCCAATACATAAGTTATATATTGTAATCTAATTCTACAGCAATTTTACAGCAATAATTGACAATTTTACAACAATAATTCACATTAAATTTAATTCACATTTAATAATTTTACATTTAATAATTTCTTATTCACGCACTCATACTCTTAAAAACTTCGACTAATGATATTAATTTTTATAAAAAAAAGAGAATAGGAGAAATGCAGTAAATTAAAGTACCATCTAAGAAATTTCATTGTCTGAACTAAGTTGCTCACTGTTACAGGTGGGTCGTCGAATTTGGGTTCAGCTGTGGCAACATCAATGAATTTGACAAACAGTAGTGAGCCAATGGGTGCAGAGAGTGGCGCAAGTTATAAGTCTGAACCTAACGATATGATGTATTATCATACCCCGACGACAGATTCCATCAACCAAACCACTGACGGATTTCTTTCGTCTCTACTCAATGATGAGGACTTGCACCTAATGGACATGGCCATGAACGACGGTAAGTATTACCATTGCAGCATTGTTATAAGTGTACATTCTTCTCCTAATATTAAAATCCTCTCATTCATGTGTTAATAATTAATTAATAAAATTTAAAGAATATAGATATTTAAAAAAAATATAATAGAGAAGTATCAGTTTTAAGAATTTTCATTAAAATCTCTTGATAATATATTTCAACGATTTTTAATTATAAGAAATTGCAGAAAATTAAAAATTAAAAAATTGATAATTTCTTGCAGATTTCTTAAACTCTTTTATGCATGTTAAGTTTTTTTTTGGTGTGTATGTGTATATATATATATATATATAATTTGCTAATCTATATATAGTAAAAATTAGGCTGAATTTAAAAAAACAAGATTATAGCATTTTCTTAACATAACTTTCATTTGTGGACCCACTTCATACACTATCCTTCCCATATATATTTAATTATCCTAATTAATAATAAATTAATTTCACTGTCATGTCTGAATATGTTAGAATGTATTAAAATCAACTTATTATTGAAGAATTTATTCTAAAAATGCAATAGTTTTTTTATAACCAAAAATTTTATTATAAAAGTATAAAACCATATTAGATGTATTTATTATAACGTATAAAAATATAACATCAAGAAACAAAATAGAATTGTATAAAATAAATCATAATCATGAAATATGAATAAATTTTTAATTTTTCGACAATCGTATGGGAGATATAGAATATATACTTTTTGGTTTATATTCTCATATCGCGCTATTAGTTTCAGGTAAACTTTTTAAAAATTGTTTAACATTTTTAAAGATTGACATTAAAGTAAGAAGTATGTGAAAAAGATGGAAAAAAAAATCATTAATTATAGATTCTATATTTTATATAGTTATATATTCTCCCACGCGATTATATATTTTGAAATATAATATCACTAACAAGAATGGTACTCATCAATGGTACACTTTCAATGTCAAATCAAATTAAGATAATAATATTTTAATTAAAGCAAATGAAAGAGAAACTATCAAATCATAAATCTTAAATCTACAATCCAAAATTATAATTTTTTTGTTCAATAGCCTACAATTTATACAATGTAAACAGTTAAGTGTATGTGTAATCTAAAAAAAATCTTGTGTAATTTAAAACTTTATTACTGGAAGTAACTTAATTCTATATCCTGAGATAGCAATATAAATTTAAATGCATCTTGCATTTTTTTCTCACTTTTAAGGAACGCAGTAATAAAAGTATATCACATAATAAACTAAAGAAAAAAAGTAGTAACAAAAACCAATTGTTACTTCTAAGCAGATAATGTTCCATGAAAGCTATTATACTTTTTAAAATTAAAGAAAGCAAAGTAGTATTTTACACATTGTGTAAAATAAATATGAAGCTTCTAATCTCTACCATTCTTCTTCCGGTTCTGCTTGTGTAGGAGGTGCATAACCAGCGTCTTCATACGTCTCATCACCATATGCATTCTTGTTCTGCACAGAGAGAAAAATTTATATTTATTTATACCATAGATTTACGAATAATTTATATTATAGATTTAAAAGCTCTAGTGTGATCAATTCTTTTCTGTTATTTAAAAACGACATATAATATATAATTTTTACTATTCAATGGCAAGATATTAAAAATATAATAGAAATGAATTATTAACATTCGATAAACAAATTTAAATTGCAGTATTACTTACGCCTCTAATATCTTCCCCGCCGAATCTCCTTCCCTTTCCTGGCATGAAAGTTCTGCTCCCGCTCCCGCCACCGGATTCTAACCAGTCAGGTACCGGTTGACCAGCTTGTTTCAAAATTTTCATCAAATCATCAGTGAGAGGCATATCAGTACTTGAATCAAAAAATGAAGTTGCTTTGCCGCGATTTCCAACCCGACCAGTTCGTCCGATTCTATGAACATATTCGTCGATCGTCTTCGGCAAATCGAAGTTAATTACATGCGAGACATTTTTAATATCCAAGCCTCGCGCAGCAACTGCCGTTGCTACTAAAATCAACATTTTTCCTCGTTTAAAATCATATAGAGCTTCTTCTCGTTCTCTTTGTAATCTATCACCATGTATACTGGTTGTTGGAAAATTGCTCTCCGACAAGAAGGCTGCGATAAAGTCCGTATGCCTTTTCTGCTCAACGAATACTAAAGTACCTTCTATATTTCCTAGTTGATGTTGTTTTTCTATCAATTCTTTCAGCAATTTTCGCTTTTCAGACTGACCAGATGCTTGATAAAAGTTCTGTTGTACATCAGCGCAAGCACCACCGACAATCCCAACTGCGAGGAATAAATAATTTCGTAAGAATCGACCCGCGAGTTCTTGTATTTCATTTGGAAATGTAGCGGAAAACATAAGAGTCTGCCTTTCTTCTGCAGGTGCCATTGTTTCGTGATCTATTAACTTTTCAATATCAGGCAAAAAACCCATATCAAGCATTCTATCAGCTTCATCCAATACAAGAAAACGTAAGGAAGAAAGTCGAATCTTGCCTCGTCCCATAAAATCTAACAGTCTACCTGGAGTTGCAACTAGAATATGGCAACCATTAAGCACTCTATTTGATTGATGCATAATCGATGTTCCTCCATAAGCAAGCTCTGCACGTATGGCGGAACCTAAAGAAAATTTCTTGACTTGCTGATGAATCTGTGATGTAAGTTCGCGTGTAGGCGATATAATAATTACATGTGGTTCGCAGGAAGTGGACGTTTTAATTAAATCTTTTGGATCTTCTAACAGAGTGTGTAAGATAGGAACTACAAACGCCGCAGTTTTTCCTGAACCTGTTTGCGCGCAAGCCATCAAATCCCGGCCACTCATTATAATCGGAATGGCGTACTTTTGAACAGGAGTAGGTTTTGTATAACCGGATTTTTTGATATTTTCCAATAGGATAGTTCTGAGGCCAGATTGATCGAAGGATTGTATTGGACGTGGTGCATTCTCACCGCTTACTTTTACTTCAATATCATCATATTTATTGAAGTTTATTCCCATTGTTACATCGTTTCCAAATAAGGAATTTTCGTCATCAGGTTGCTCTGGTGGAATATAAATCTCTCTCTTCTTTGGTTCTTCTTTATCATCACCTTCTTTGGATCCAACATCATTTCTTCTGCGTCTCCTGTTTTCACCATCATTATCATCGTCACCTCTGTTTCTACCGTAACCACCTCTTCCACCTCTGTCATTATCATCGCCATCCCTGCTTTTACCGTAATCACCACTTCTTCCACTTCTATCATTATCACCACCATCTCTGTTTCTGCCATAACCGCCACCTCTTCCACTTTTATTTTCATCTCTATCTCTCCTGAGTCTGTCCTTTCTACCGTTCTGATAACTTCCGTTGAAGCCATTATCTTCAGTTTCATTATCATCCCTATTTCGCCTATTGCTCCTATCCTTATTGCCTTGCCGCCTACGATCATTGTCACCTCTGTTATTTCCATAACGTCTATCATTGTCTTGTCTGTTGTCTCCTTCAAATTTATTATTATCGCCATTATATCTATTATTTTCAGTATTTTCGTTGTAGGTATTATTATAGTTTTCTTCATTTGTTTGTTTACTATTACAAGAGCCTCCTACATTGTAATCTGTGTTATTGTTATTGTACAATATTGCGCCTCGTCCTTTACCACGGCAAGGGGCACGTCCTTCTTCAAACTATTGAAACAATATCGATATTAATGATTATTTATTGTTTTATTTTTACGATATATACTTAAAAAAAAAAGATTTAAATGCACATATCCTTACAGAAGACATATTAACTGGTGCTTGACTAAAATCCAACGTGTCATCGATTCCCCACTGTTCTTCCATTTTTACCTATAGAAAAAAATTGCACATTAAATACACATATAACATATAGTTATATTCAATACAATAATAAATATTTAAATAATAAAATATATAATTAAATAGGAAATTTTTGTATTCGACGATATAAATCATACTATAATAACAAATAATGTTTAAAATTACAAGATGAAAGTTATCAAATTTAATAAAATAAATTTATATATTTAATGATAAACGTATTATTAAATATATAAATTGAAAAATGATAGATAAAATTGTAAATGAACTGATAAGACGATTATTGTAACACAATGGACTAACGAAAAATAATTTTATTCTTCATAAAATGAGGAACATTATGGATATAATCCAAGACATTAAAAATTGAAAATTCTGTTAAAATTGTACTCAATCAATAATTCACAAATATTAACATTATAAAAAATTACATACAATAAGAAGTCTGTTTTCTGTGCTAATACTTTTGAATTTTTGGAACTTACTGAGATAAATGTACGTTTAATGATATTCGTTTAAAGCGAGAGAATTCTAAAACAGCTTAGTGCAGGAACAGAAAACAGATCGAAGATTAAGATGTAATACAGATCAAGATGTAATACAAAATTTTCTAAATAATTTTTTTCGGAATAACTGTTCAATAAAAAATATAATTTAGACACAGTTGCATCAATGTTACTTTAAGCGAGACTTAACTTGATCTCGTTTTAAAGTCGAAAAGAAAGACAGAGAGTTTTAAGCCTCACTTAAAATCAAATTAACGTTGGTACAATCGGGCCTTCTAAAACTGAGTGGTAATTGATAAATAATGTTGGATAGACTACATTAATGCTTGAGATATTGCTTGTTTTTGCTTAGAAATAAACATTGAGGAAAAGATGAGAATAGAATAGAAAAAAAATATGGTCAACAAGCAAATAAATTTAAGGGTGATATTTCATTTGTGCGTTTTTGTCTTTCGACATGATGAAATATCACCCTAAGATACAATCACTGTTTATTTCTATTTCTGTCTTACCAATGTAGAGAAACTTATCTCGGTTCAACTTTTGTAGTTCTAAGGCCCAGTTCCACAACTCACGATTAACTTTCAACCGAGATAATTCAATTTATTTCCCTCATTTCTTTCCAATTCTAGAATTGAAAACAGGAATAAGTTGAAATTC